CAGGCCCCAGACACCACCAGATGTGCCCACCACCACCCCACGAGGGCCTCTGCGGGAGGGATTTGACTCTCCTGTGCATAATCTCTTTGCTGTTTGGGGCTTTGGGGCCGTGTCCCCTGGTGCTTGGGAGCTGCTCCTGGCAGTGCTCAGGAGACCGGTGCGGCGCCAGGAATTGAACCGTGTTGGGCGCATGCAAAGCAGGCCGGCACCGGACGATTTCTCCACCTTAGCAGAGGGTCCCGTTTCTGCTGCCTGCCCCTTAGGCATGAGATAGGAGCGAGTCGAGTGTGCACTTTCTCTATGTGTGTGTGGGCTGATGGGACCTGTTGTGTTGCTGTGGAACAGATTCCGAGAGGGCTGCTATTAGTGCAGAGAGGACTCCCCCCCCCCCCCTTCCCGGCCCCTCCGTTGCCACTGCACTGATGGCTGGGGAACACCGGGGTCCTGAACGTGGCCTTGCTGGGCCGAGTGCGGTGCCTGTGGGCGGCTTTGGGGTGGAACTCCCAGCTTCCTATAGCCACTGGGCCCAGATCGAGCTTTCAGAGAAATTGAAAATAGATTTGTGATTCAGTGTGTTAGTAAATTGACAGTGTTTTCAGATATCCTCTGGGCCACTAGCAGAGCTCGGGGTGACTCCTGGCTCCGTGCCGGGGATTACGTTTGCTGGTGCTCAGGGGACGTGTGTGGTGCTGGGGATTGGAACCAGGGATTGAATCTGAGTCTGCTGAGTGCCAGGCACCGCCTTAATCCCCGGATTAGCCCTCTGGCCCCTGTTCAGATGCTTGGAGGATCTCTTTGTCTGAGTGAAAAGTGAGTATGGGCAGAAGAGTCGCCTTAGCGGCTGTCCTTTCATGTTGTTTTTGTTTTGTTTGGGGACTGTACTCAGGGTTTACTCCTGGCTCTATACTCAGGGGCCACTCTGTTTTCTTTGGGGGGGTCACACCCAGCAATGCTCAGGGGTTCCTCCTGGCTCTGCACTCAGCAATTACCCCTGGCGGTGCTCAGGGGACCACATGGGATGCTGGGAATCGGACCCGGGTCAGCCGCGTGCAAGGCAAACGCCCTACCCGCTGTGCTATCGCTCCAGTCAGGGGCCACTCTGGGAGGCTCAGGCAACCATGTGTGGTGCTGGGGATCCAACTCGGGGACTGCGTACGGGGCAAGTGCCCCACCTGCTGGATTGTCTCTCTGGCCCTCCCCTTACCGTCTGGCTTTCAAATTCAGGAAAAGGTAGATCAGTGATCCAAATGTGAATCGTGAAACAAAAGTAGGGGCCAGAGGGATCGTTACGGGAGTAAGGCACTTGCTTTACATGGGGCTGCCCCAGTTCAGTCCCTGGCGCCAAGAATGGTCCCCAGAACACCTCGAGGAGTGATCCCTGTGCAGAGGCAGAAGCCCCGAACACGGTCAGGTGCGGCCTGAAGACCCAAAAATAAAAAACAAAACTGGGTTCAGATTTCAGTGGGGTGATCTTAGAGGTCATAGAGTTCAGCCCCTTCGTTCTGGGCAATAATGAGGAAGGAAGGAGCCCTGTCCAGGCCAGGCCCATGTGATTAGTAACTGGCAGAGTGGAGACTCCAGCAATAGTTTCTTGCCGGGATCTTGCTGCAACTTGCCACTTCCTAATTAGTGGTTGAACAGACACACGCTACGTGTGTGTGTGTGTGTGTGTGTGTGTGTGTGTGTGTGTGTGTTATGGAGAGACGGGGCGAAGGTTTATTGAGCACTTACTTGCTAAGCACTTTGGAGTATACTAATTCACATCCTTCCACAGCGCTGCGACTCTCTGTTCATTTCGTTTCTCGGGGCGCCGCACCCAGGTGTCCTCAGGCGGACGTCTCCAGCTCTGGGAGTTGTACCTGGTGCTGCTCTGTGGGAGCCCTGCGAGGTGCCGTACGAGCCACATGAGTGACCCCTCGCCGCCTGCATGCAGGGCACTGGGATGTCACTGCTCACTGTCCTGTCTTGCGGATTAGAACATTTGGTCCGGAAAGGTGCTAACTAGCGTCTGGGCCAGCGTGTGAGCCCTAAGACTTTACAGACCAGGCTCTGGGCTGTGGGCAGTGAGTGCGGGTGTCGCCAACTGTCTCTTTCACCCAGGAGACGCAGGCGGGTGCAGGGGAGCTCCAGGGCCTCGCCATGTGGCGGCCGGGTGACGGGTCTCAGGGAGGTGACGGGGATTTTCAGATTGGGCAGCCAGACCCTGGTAGATCTGGCGACTTGCCCAGTTCCTTATCAGAACCCGCACGGCCCGGCTCCCAGTTCCGATCCGGGTCCCGTCTAGCATAGATTTCACCATTTTCTGTTTTTTCCTGTCTTACTCTGAGATTGTCGAAGCACTTCCCAAAAATACTGAGCCACGAGTGGGTGTGTTCACTCGGCGGAGTGAATCACTGGAGGAGGCCACGAACCAGCCCGAGGCGCAGGACCTGGAAGGAGACTCCTGGCCCTGAGGGGAGCTTCTCTCCAAAGGCGTCCAAAGGCGCCGCTGGCTGGCCCGCGTGTCCTGCTGTGCTCAGAATAGCCCTCCTGGACTTGTCGTTTCCCTTCTTGCTTCCTAAAATAGACCCGCTGCTATTTTCTTTGCCGGAAGTCGCAGCTCGAGCGAGCCCGAGGCGCTGCCCCCTCGCCACCAGGAGCCCCTTTGTAGCCGCAGGTCCCTGCTGGCATTCGGGCGGGCAGACCACGGGCTCTCTTGGAAGTGCAGGTCGCGCAGGTGCCAGGAAGAGTAGCAGAGGTCTGGAGGAGTGTCCCGAGAGTCGCAGGAGGCATTGGAGTTAGCCAGAAGAAAGGCGGGAGGGAGGGAGGGAGGGAGAGTGAGCGAAGGAGGATACATCCGTGGGGAGGGGAGACGAGGAGCTTCCTTCTCTTTCATCCTGCCTGTCTGAAAGAGGGGGGTTGAAGTTCAGGAGGGATTCCCCTCTTAAAATCTGTTTTGGGGGGGCGGGGCAGAGCATTGGCACTGTGGGTAAGGCCCTTACTTGCCCTGCCTGTAGCCAACCCAGGTTCAATCCCCAGCATCCCATATGGTCCCCCACGTACCGCCAGGAGTAGTCCCTCACACCACCAAGTGTGGCCCCAGTAGTTTTTTGGGGGGTGGGGTACTTAGGAATTATTTGCACTTAGAAATCATTCCTGGTGGTGCTCAGGAGGTCGTACAGAGTGCTGGGCGTCAAACCGAGACCGCCCCATGCAAGGCAAGACCCTTTCTGCTGTACTATCGCTCCGGCCCTTAAATTCTTCTTATAATCTGGATCTTCCTCTACGTGGCGCCTGCCGAGCACATGTTTTGCACGTAGGATGCCAGGATTCAAGCCCTTGCAGCTCCTGAGGGCCGCTTGGATGTGGCCTGAAAACAGAAAGCAAAGACGAAAAAGCAGAGGACCTGCTTTAAACTTTCTGCTTTTAAAACACAACACGCCCAGAACCAGCGGCAGGTAGCTGCGTGTTTGGGAATTTCTCCCAGGGGGGAGACTGATCAAAAACCACGCCGGCATCGCGGGCCGCGCAGAAAGATGCAGCCCGTCTGCCAGGGCGCACCCGCCCTTGTTTCCACGCAGGGAAGGGCCAGGGCTGCGTCACGTATAGGAGACCAGAGGAAGGAGGGAGGAGATGTTTAGGGTCAGGCTTTGGCTCTGGAGAGCAGGCGGCGCCTGCCCGAGCTTTGTCGGGAGAGACAAAGTTGGGCTGTTCACAGTCGAAAGGGGCGAAACTGATTTCCCTTGGCCTGGTCGCCAGCGTCCCTCTAGGGCCTGCGTTTGCGGAGATTCGCACTGGATGCCCTGGTTCGTTGGAGTCCAGTCCAGGACTTAGGCGGGCCGTCCCGCTGCCTCCGACCGGGCCAGGGCTCGCTCCAGCCCAAGGGAACGGGGGCCAGAGCGGCTCCCCTGCATGCCTGAGGTCAGGACTGGGCTCGGCGTAGGGGAGACAGTCTTGGGGAGAACCAACTGTTGCTGTCTGTGCTATTCTTGTTGGACAGTTAAATAAAGGATTCCAGATTCCAGGGCTGCCGAGCTGACGGGGAGGCGCCAAATTCGTTTACGGTCATTTCCTATCAGCAGTGCCTGCTGACGTGTAAGGCCCACCAGCCCGACTCACTCCCCCCAGAGCTAGATTGCGTAGCCTACCTGTCGGGGGCGAATTGTAGACAGTCCTCTAAGTGGTGCCCAGGTGCCTTTCGGAGCGGGCTAAATTTATTGAGCACACTTGACGCGTCAGCTCATGTGATCCTCAATAACTTAAGATGAGGTAGCTCCTAATATTATCTTCTTTGGAGGAGACGCTCCTGGTTTCTCATGCGAGGGGCAGCCCACGTGCACCGAAGGGAAGGGAGAACGTCGGGTTGGTCGGGGGAAGCTGCTTTTCAAAGGAAGCAATGTTGACCTGAATGGTGAAGGCTCGTAAGGACTGCGGGGCGAGGGTTGGGGGGCTGATAGAGGAATCAATCCGTGCACGGCCGCAGAGAGCAGAGGCGGGTGGTGAGGAGGATGGTTCTGAGGGCTCTATTGGGGGTCTTGGGGTTGTGGGGGCGGGGGGAGGCGGAAGGGCCACCCCTGCGTTCTCCTCAAACTCAGGCAGCTACATTTTCGGGAAATGCTCTTTCCCAGACATCGAATAGTGACAGTATAAAGGCCGGGTCGGGAACTCAGTGTTAGAGCCCTTGGCGTTGGAGGTATGAGGTCCTGAATTCTATCCCTCGCCCTGCAAAAAGAAAACAGAAAATCCCAGTTATTTGTGAGTCTAAAACTGAAGTTCCAAAGACAGTTTCCGTGTTTCTCAAGCCACCAAGCAGAAGTCTCAGGCGGAAAGGGCAGGGCCCCAGACCTTGTTTGTGGACAGAGCCGGAGCGGGTGGTGGCCCCCCCGACGGTATCAGCTTTCTGGCCGCGGTTGTGAACTCTGAGGCTTGCTGAGGGATTATCTTGTAAGTCTGGGGAAGACCGAGGAGGAGCCCCGTCCCGCTTGCCCTGATGCCCGCCCCGCCCCGTCCCGTCCCCGCAGCTCTGCTCTGCGCCTGCACCAGCTGCCTGCAGGCCAACTACACGTGCGAGACGGACGGGGCCTGCATGGTGTCCATCTTCAACCTGGACGGGCTGGAGCACCACGTGCGCACCTGCATCCCCAAGGTGGAGCTGGTCCCGGCCGGAAAGCCCTTCTACTGCCTGAGCTCCCAGGACCTGCGCAACACCCACTGCTGCTACACCGACTACTGCAACCGGATCGACCTGCGGGTGCCCAGCGGTGAGTGCGCGCCCTCGCCGGGCTCCCGGCCGGCTCGGAGGCAGGGCCCTGGGTTTCGTGAGCGGTAAAGCCGGGGTGATCGGGTTGGTCCCCGGTGCCTCTGGCGGTCAGGCCAGGGTCCTCGGGGAGGCCAGGAGCCGTTCTTGGAGGGGTCAGCTCCCAGAGCCGCGTGGAGGGTATGAGGCGTTGCCTGCTCGCCTGGACGTGCAGGATTTGGAAAAGGACAGTGGACAGAGCTGCCCCCGGCAAGCCGCCTCTTCCCCGAACACTTGCTGGGGGTGAGAGCAGAGGAAGGGGCGGGGGCAGATGGGGAGGGTTGTCTGCACGGGGCGGGGCGGGGCAGGGGGACAGTCCAGACCACCGCTGTCCCTGATTGTACGCTGTTCTCTCCTCCTCCTCTCTCGCGTGACCCAGGTCACCTCAAGGAGTCCGAGCATCCTTCCATGTGGGGCCCCGTGGAGCTGGTGGGCATCATTGCCGGCCCGGTCTTCCTCCTCTTTCTCATCATCATCATCGTTTTCCTTGTCATCAACTACCATCAGCGAGTCTACCACAACCGCCAGCGACTGGACATGGAGGATCCCTCCTGCGAAATGTGCCTCTCCAAAGATAAGACGCTGCAGGATCTCGTCTACGATCTCTCCACTTCAGGCTCCGGCTCAGGTACGGCTTCCCGGGCGTGGCTGTCCTTGGCCCCTGGAGGTTTCCCAGCAGGGCGGGACCACGTTGATCCTCGCACTACTTGCCACTAGCACTGAGTCATTGGGTTTTATGATTCCTGGTCTTTCGGAGTCTGGCATGAAGGAAGATAAGATAATGGGCTCACAAAGGCTCTCGAAGATCTTCCCTTCCCTGGGATTCCGAAGTCAAGTGCAGACACCTGGCCTGGAGCGAGCCTTGGGCCGGGGAGCAGTGCCCGGTTCCCTCTCGGGGCTCCTCCTCTGAGAGCCAGGAGTGTGCCGGTGCCTGCGCGCTGGCCTGGCTAATCATTGATCTCGGCACAGTCACAAGGGGAGTGGAAGGACAGCAGGTAAAGCCGGGGACTGGGCCCTGGTGAATCATTGGCTTGGACCCGTTGCCCCCGGGTGTCAGAGGGAGGTGGGCGGAGCCGCCCTGCAGCAGCTGGGCCTCCGTTGCTGGACCAGGCTCCCTCGGGTGGGGGTGGGGCTGGACAACTCCGCTCAAGGGGAGGAGAGATCGCAGAGCCACTGGGTGCCCCAGCACCCACATGTTTCTCCCGAGCACTGCCAGGAATGATCCCTGAGCACAGAGTCAGGAGTAAGCTCTGGGCACCGCTGGGTGTAGCCCAAAGCTCCAAACCAGGAATAAAAAGGAACCACAGGGTCTGGAGCAATAGCACAGTGGGTAGGGCGTTTGCCTTGCACGCGGCCAACCTGGGTTCGATTCCCAGCATCCCATATGGTCCCCTGAACACCGCCAGGGTGCAGAGTGCAGAGTGCAGAGTAGTCCCTGTGCATTGCCAGGTGGTATGACCCAAAAAGCCAAAAAAAAAAAAAAAAAAGGAACCAGGGTCCTTGAGGTCTCAGGATTAACTCAGCTTGGTATTAGATGTACATTAGATGACCGCCAGCATCTTTTTGGAAGTAAATTGTTTTAAGGATGGTTCTGTTTTGTGTTCTTGTTAAGAGAAAAGGACCCTCTCCCAGGAGTAGCCCCTCAGCATTGATGGGTCTGGCTCAAAAAACAAAATCCAAATAGTAGTGACAATAATGATAAAAAGGTCTTGGAGAGTGAGTTGGAAGGTTTTTTTATTTTTGCCTTTTGGGTCACATCTGGCGATGCACAGGGGTTGCTCCTGACTCTGCACCAGGAGTTACTCCTGGCGGTGCTCAGGGGACTACTCGGGATGCTGGGAATCGAACCTGGGTCGGCTGTGTGCAAGGCAAACGCCCTACCGCTGTGCTATCTCTCCAGGCCCCTAAGAGTTGGAAGTTTCAAGAGAGGTGAGGGGGCAGGGAACATCCTAGGCCAAAAGGGCATCCAGGTTTTCTCTGTTTAAGCAATGAGAAAGAGACCAGCCCGCTGTCTCTCCTGGGGCCGGGGGCAGCAGCTGTCCCTGGGGCAGAGGGACCTTCAGTGCCAGGTTGGTCTAGTCAATTTGAGAAGCACTTTGGTGGTTCTGTATTGTTGTGCTTAAAAGCATAAACTCTAAGATCTCAGATCGGACAGGCCTAGATTTGAATCTGTGCTCTATCTCTTCCGGCTTTACCACTTCCTGTTTATGTGAGTGGAATGAGTTACCTGCCCTTCCTTTCTTGAGCCTCTGTCTTCTCATCTGTGGAATAGGGACAGTGGGGTCTGGGGTGTGGCTGGGTGTTACAGCACACGCCCAGCACGGGTGAGAGACTCCAGGTTTGAACCTGTCACCCATGGGCGGGGAGGGGCTGCTGGTTATGGTCTCTGGAAGTAAGTGAAGAGAATGAAGCAGGGATCGTGCTCATCCCTACCTAAAAGGCGGCTGTGAGGAAATCCCTTAATGGGAGGCTGTAGCAGAGTCTGACGCACAGCCCGCGTGCGGTCCCGGCCGGGCTGTGTCTCCAAGGCCGAAGAAGGGGGGTGACACTTAAAGACTCTTTATGTGGTCCAGGTGGCGGAGTCCTAGAGCAGCGCTGATTCAGTCGCAGAGTGGGCGTCGGTGGCCCGTCATCCTGTCCAGGTGGTTCTGCCCCTCCGGCCGAGGCTCGATCTCTTTCTGGCAGGGTGGGAAGCCGAGCCCACAGCTTGGTTTTCAGAAGCCGCACAGCACCGCCGCCTAGTGGCCAGCGGACGGACCCGGCGGCGGCACCCACTGTGCCGTTTTCTCTCCTGTCAGCAGAACGCAGCCGTGGGTGGATTGGCCCAGGAGCCTGGCCGCAGAGCTGGCGAATCTGGTTAGGCGTTTACGTTCAGATCCGTCACTCCCGCTCGCCGGCTGACCAGCTTGTCCTGTGTCCCCCCCGCCTGTGTGGGCTCATGTCCCTTGGGCCTGGTCTGAGTGACAGGGGGCCGGTGTGGCAGGACGGGGCGCTCTCTCAGTGTGCCCCAAGAGTGGGAGTTGCAGAGTTGGACGGCCGTGCAGTGTCCGCTTTCTTTCTGTTTTCCCGTCCACAGGGCTGCCCCTTTTTGTCCAGCGCACGGTGGCGCGAACCATCGTCCTGCAGGAGATCATCGGCAAGGGCCGCTTTGGAGAAGTGTGGCGTGGCCGCTGGAGGGGCGGCGACGTGGCCGTGAAGATCTTCTCCTCTCGAGAAGAACGCTCCTGGTTTCGGGAAGCCGAGATCTACCAGACGGTCATGCTGCGCCACGAGAACATTCTGGGGTTCATCGCTGCCGACAACAAAGGTGAAGGGCCGGGCCGGGTTGTGGGGTGGCCCGAAGCCAGCACTGGTCCTGGGGGAGGTGGCGCCAGGGGAGGGGAGAGCTGTGGCTGGGGGGGAGCCGGAAGAAGGCCGTTCGTTGTCTTCAGACTTTTCCTCGAGTAAAAGAACCTGGGGGGGGGGGGGGGGGAGTGTGATTTGGATTTTTGTTTTAAAGTTTTAAAAAAGCCTTTGGGGCCACATCTGGCAATGCTCCTGACTCTGTGAAACCCAGCTTTTTTTTTTTTTCTTTTTGGGTCACACCCGACAATGCACAGGGGTTACTCCTGGCTCTGCACTCAGGAATTACTCCTGGCGGTGCTCAGGGGACCATATCGGGTGCTGGGAATTGAACCCGGGTCAGCCACGTGCAAGGCAAACACCCTCCCCACTGTGCTGTCATCGCTCCAGCCCCAAAACCCGGCTTTTAAGCAGAGAAACTAGAGAAAAACTCCAGCCTAGCTGCTCACTTTCCCTTCCCTCGTGCCCGTAGGCCCGCCTGCAGTGTCATCCCTGCAGGGGCTCCAGTAAGTGTTCCCTAAAAACCATTGGAGTAGATCACGGGGGCCTGAGGTGTGACTCGACAGTAGGACACTTGCTGTGTGTGAGGGGGTCGCACCCCCAAACCCGAAAAGGTCTTAGGGCCAGGAAAGGAGCGGCCTGGGGAAGCCTGTTCTGCCTGAGGCGCTGTGTCCTGCTCACTGTGTCGAGTGGCGAGGTAGGCACCTGCCTGCAGTGGCAGCCTCGAGCCGGAGCTCTTCTGTGGCCTCTTCCGCTCCTGCATGTGCTCGGGTCCTTGGTTCCGGACACCTGGCTGAGTCGAGGAACAGACACTTGACAGTCACAGGAAGTAATGAAATAGCAAGCTGCCTGGAGAGACGGGGTAAGAGGGGTCCCAGGTGAGCTGGATTGAGGCGGCGTGGCAGGTTGGCAGGCGCTGGCTCGGGAGAAAACCCGCCGGGGAGAAGGCACTCACAGGGCAGCCCGCGGGGGACTCGGGTGGCTGTGGTCCCGGTCGGGGGCAGAGAGGCAGGTACCGAGCACGGGATGGGGGCCTTTGGGGGAGGGTGCTGTTTCATTCTGAAGGTCGTGGGGGGAGCGGCCAGAGACAGGCTCAAGGGGCTGGAGCACATGCTCTACAGATGGGGCCCCGGCGCATGGCCCCTGGAAGGTGACCCCGTGCATCGCCAGGAGTAACCCCCGAGCACTGAGCTAGGAGTCACTGTGACCCAACTTCTTCCTCCCCCAGAAGTAAGATAGTGAGGGCCAGAGAGAGAGTGCAGCGGGTAGGACACTTGCTTTGCACGCAGCTGGCCCACGTTCAATCCCCCGGCATCCCGTAGGGTCCGAGCTCGCCACGAGTAATTCCTGAGCACCCCAGGGGGTGGCCCCCAAACCAACCAAAAAAGGGGGTGGAGATAGCACAGCGGGTAGGGCGTTCGCCTTACAAGCGGCCAACTATGGCCGACCCGAGTTCGATTCCTCCGCCCCTCTCGGAGAGCCCGGCAAGCTACCGAGAGTATTCGATATGCCAGACACAGTAACAACAAAGTCTCCAATGGAGACGTTACTGGGCCCGCTCGAGCAAATCGACGATCAACGGGAGGGCCTTTACCTTTACCTTTAATTGCAGCTTCAGTAGTTGAGCAGCATTCAGGACCGACCCAGACCCTCTCGCTGCCCTTGGGCGCAGTCCCTGTCCACAGCCCCCAGGACGCGGGGGCAGACGTCCTGGGGTGGGTCGCAGCCGAATCCTCCAGAGCGGTGCTGGGTGTTGTTTTCGGAGCCTCGGGTCCTGGGTACCGTCTCTTGCTGCGCCCAGTGGCTGTTGGAGGACAGTGTCTGCAGAGCCTGGGGGCTGCCCCCATGCTGAAGAGTCTGCGGTTTATACTCCGGGGAGGGGGAAGGGGAAGGAGTGGCGGGGAGGGGGCCTGCCTTGCATGCAGCCGACCTGGACGTCCCCCCACAGCGTCCCATCTGGCCCCCTGAGCGATTTGAGTGCAGAGCCAGGAGGAGCCCCAGCGCCAGATGTCGGGAAGAGACTCTCCCCCCTCACCCAGGATCCCGGCTGTGGTGCCGTCGGGATCACCCGCACCGGCCCTGGAGGTTAAGCGCCCGAGTGTGCTCACAGCACGTCCTTCCACCACAGCCATCCTCAGCCTGCCCCCACAAGGGAGGGGGCATGAGCACCTGGCCCTGTGACCAAAGGCAGAGCCGGGGTGCAGCTGACGGCTTCAGGCTTGCTGGACGAGCATTAAGCCATCTTCCGGGGCCCAAGGCCAGCTGGACCGTTTGTTCTGTTTGGGGGCCACAGCCAGCGGTCTTCAGTGGCTACTCCCGGCTCTGTGCTCAGGGGACCATGTGGTGCCATTGAACCAGGGCCTTCCACACTCGGAGCAGTCCCTTGAACGATCAGTCATCTCAGCCCGTATTGTTTCTGTCTCTCTAGATGGTTCCACTTCGTTCAGGTACTGTGGGTGTGGTAGCGTTAACATTTACGATACGGATGTACCCAGTTACTGCACGCCACCCTTATTTTTCAGCGATCACCCCAGGGGGTGAGGGGTGGATGGAGCGCAGGGTCTTGCTGCTGGGCCTGTAACCTCCCACCGACTAAGAGGCCACTCCCCTGTCAGGGGCCACAGGCAAAAATTATGTGGGGGCACATAGGAAGGAAGCACATCGGTCATGGGCCGTGGGGAAAAGGTCAAGAAACTGGCCTCCCGCGGGAGCTGCTTTATGCCCCTTCCAATACAGATTAAGTCTCACATGGTTTTTATTTTATTTTTTTTCTTTTTGGGTCACTCGGCGATGCTCAGGAGTTACTCCTGGCTCTGCACTCAGGAATTACTCCTGACAGTGCTCGGGGGACCGTATGGGTTGCTGGAAATCAAACTTGGGTTGGCCACGTGCAAGGCAAATGCCCAACCCCACGTAGGACCTCTCCGGTCTCACGTGTATCTTAAAGGCACCAACATGTCTTCCCTTTTCAGTTATTGGCGGTGCCCTCAAGACTTTGCAGCTGTTGTAACCTTTGGGTCTGGTTGTTGGCTGGGGGGTGGGTTTAAGAGTGTTTGGGGGGGCTGGAGCAGTAGATAGCACAGCGGGGAGGGCGTTTGCCTTGCATGCGGTCGACCCGGGTTCGAGTCCCAGCATCCCATATAGTCCCCTGAGCATCACCAGGGGTAATTCCCGAGAGCAGAGCCAGGAGTGACCTAAAAGGCAAAAACAAAAACAAAAACCAAAAAAGAGCGTTTGTGGATTTATCGGTGGGGAGTAGGGGGCTTGGGTGTGTCCTTTGTAAGCAGAAGCCGAGATGGGTGCTCCTGAGCCGTCCCTCTATTGATTCTGGCTGCTCTGTGGGCAGGGAGTTTGGCTGCTGGAACCCACGTTGGCCAGGGGAGGAAAATCGAGTCTTCTCACCGCCTTAAAATGTTAGGTCTGTAGTTGAGTGTCCCGGAATTGGGGAGATCGCCGTCCACTCGACAGTCTTCCTGTTGACAGCAGCTTAGCCTAATGAGACGACACGCTCTGGATTTTTCTTTTTGTCCCTCCTCCCTGGCTCTTCTCCAAGAGTTCGATGCTCCCCCTCCATGTGTGAGACAGAAGTGCGTGCTCTCCCCCTGTGTGGGGCAGGGCTAAGGTGCCTTTTGGGGGGGGGGGGTGGTCACACCCACTGATACTCCGGGGTTACTCCTGGCTCTGCACTCAGGAATTACTCCTGGCCCTGCTCGGGGAACCCTATGGGATGCTGGGAATCGAACCCTGGCCGTCTGCGTGCAAGGCAAATGCCCTCCCTGCCGTGCTCTTGCTCCAGCCCCTGCTGCGGTGCCTTAAGGAGCGGCTGCTCCCTGCCGAGTGCCCGCACCTGCCACGGCCTTAGGGCACTGGCGCTGCCCCCCTCAGGGGAGCTTGCTTGGAGCCCAGGGGCCTCCCATTTCACACCTGGGGTACTCAGAGCCCTTCAGAGACCTCGGCCGCACAGGCCGCGGGAGCACCTTGTCCGGAGCTGTCGCTCTTCCGGGGGCTGCGGCAGCTGGCCGTGTCTGCTCGGCAGGGCTGGAGGGGGAGGGGGGCTCGTCTGTGCAGGGTCTCTCCGCTTCTGACTCCCTCCGTCTGGCTCTCTGCAGATAACGGCACCTGGACCCAGCTCTGGCTCGTCTCGGACTATCACGAGCACGGCTCCCTGTTCGACTACCTGAACCGGTACACGGTGACCATCGAGGGCATGATCAAGCTGGCCTTGTCTGCCGCCAGTGGGCTGGCCCACCTGCACATGGAGATCGTGGGGACGCAGGGTGAGTGCAGAGACGAGGGCCAGGCTGGGAGCCCGACCTGACGCCCTCCTCGTGGGCCTCCGGTGCTGTCGCCAAGCGGGTCGGGTCGAGGCGGTTCTCCAGGGCCCCTTTCACCTCTTGGAACTCCCGCAGGGGACTCTGCCGTGTAAACACGTGTTGATTCTTTACCCGAGGGCCTGGCTCAGCTCCTTGGTGAACTGGTGCCTGCTGGGAGTAATCCCAGAAGCCCGAGTGCCGGGGTGGAACTCGGGGTGTAGGTGACGAGCGCCGCCCACTGCCAGGGACAGCTGGGGGGCTGGACCTTGGCCTTTATTACTTGGGGAAGGTTTTCCAGAGGAAAAACAGGTTGAGCTTCCTCGCTTGTTGGCAGTTAATCACCCCAGCTCTCTGGCAGAGTCTGGACCTTCTCGCAGGGACAGCTGTGCTCCCTGCTGACCGGGACTGCAGCCCTCGGGGCCAGGACAGCGCCAGCCAGGGAAGCGGGGTGTTGCCTGGCCGGCCCTGTCTCGGCCCCTGGACCCGGAGCCCCTGGCCGTCGCAGGAGTGTGGGCCGGCCTTCCCCACACTCATGTGACACCCGGCCTCCCGAATCCTCCCCGAACTGCTGTTCCTGAGGCGGACCCTCGCCCTGACTTGGGTGCTGGGGTTGGTCTGTCGCCCCGAGGACTGGGATTCAGACGGGTCCCGCTGCGTCTCCAGGGCGCGGCCTGGCTCGGAGCGCCAGACTCTGTGCAGCTTTCTCTAAAGAGCTCTCCTCGTCTCTGCCAGGGAAACCTGGAATTGCCCATCGAGACCTAAAGTCCAAGAACATCCTGGTGAAGAAAAACGGCATGTGCGCCATCGCAGACCTGGGCCTGGCCGTGCGCCACGACGCCGTCACCGACACCATCGACATTGCCCCCAACCAGCGGGTGGGGACCAAACGGTAGGAGGAGGCGGCGTGGGGCCGGGCAGCGTGGCCTGTGTTGCTGACAGCCTGCCCACACATGCGGGCGGACACGGACACGGACACAGAGCCGGGTCACACAGCAAGAGTCTGGGCAAGATTCTTGCAGGGCCGTGTGGACGCCAGGCTGGGTGGGAGGCGCAGTGGTGCCCTTGTCTTGCCAGGGATCGCCCCAGGCTTGTCTGTCCTCTCTGCCCCTGGGGTTGTGCTGTGCTGTAGTGGGGAGCAACTCAAGGTGCTCGTGCATGGGCATACGGAAGGCCCCAGCTTGATCCCCGACACCCTGTGTGGTCACGGGTCACCTCTGGGAGCGACCCCAGCACCGCCACTTGTGGCTGAATCAAAATGAATCTCACCGAATTGTGTTCCTCCATTCCCCGAACCTTGAACCTTGAACCTGAACAGGGCTCCAGAGCGTGAGAGCTGAGACGGACCCTGGTTCGCCCTGTAGGGGGGGAGGGCTTGTGGAGCACTAGTTTAGAATGAAGAGCCCTCTACCACCAGGTGTGAGCCCTGAGCCCAGAGCCAGGTGTACACCCGCCTCCCCCCCCCCCCCCCCCCCCCCAACCACCCCTGCTCCAAAAGCAAAACCACAAAATGGAATGAAAAGCCCCAACTCATCACTGTGGCTACACTCGACAGTTTGGGCAGTTGCTAACCGCTCGCAGACTTCACTGTGACACCCAGCACCAGGGCCTCAGCTGGGAAATAAAGACATGCTTGAAATAAATCTGCGTATTGGCTTTTGGGTCACTCCTGCCTGGCTCTGTGCTCAGGAATCACTCTTGGCAGTGTTTGGGGGACCCTACGGGATACCAGGGATGAAACCCCAGCTAAGGTCCTTCCCTCTGTACTCTCTCTGGCCCTGGGCTTCAAATAAGTCCTGAGGGTCGTGGAGCTAGTACAGGGATTAGGGTGCTTTCCTGGCACCGCCTGGTTCCCCACGCGTTGCTGGGTGCCGCCCGCCCGGAGACCCTCGGCCCTGCAGGGCCTGAGCCGCACACAACCTCCGGCCCGCGCACCGACCCGCCAACCCCGCTGGCCAGGAGAATTGCCAGGAGGGCTCCGGGGCCCCGCGTGGGAGCCAAACATCGATGAATCTTGTTGGTTAGAAAATGGAACGGCCCGTTACCCAGTCTGTCCGAAGTACTTAGTTTGGAATCCAGAAATGATGGGCATTTGTAATGCAGAGTTGGTCATTCCTTTCGGGACCCCCCTCCCAGGGGCTTTTTTGGATGTTGTTTTCTCACTTTTAGAGGGTCCCTGAATTGAGATTGGTTTCAAAGCAGATCGTTTGGGCCTGTTCTGAGCTCGCTCTCCCTCTCCCTCTCCCTCCCCTCCCTCTCTCGGCCCCCCCTTCTCTGCTGACTGGACACAGGCCCTGGTTTGATCCCCGGCACTGCTGGGAAGTGTCCACACCATCTTCTCTGCTGACTGCGTGTCCTTCACAATTTCAGATACATGGCCCCCGAGGTGCTCGACGAGACCATCAACATGAAGCACTTCGACTCCTTCAAGTGTGCGGATATCTACGCCCTCGGGCTGGTGTACTGGGAGATTGCGCGGAGGTGCAACTCGGGAGGTACGGGGCTTCTCCGCCCTCTCTCCCTCCCCTTCCCAGCCAGAACTTGGGGTCACGTGGGGCGTGGGCTTTGCTTCCTTTCCTCTTCTTACAGCCAGTTGGGTCCCGTTATGCTTTCGGTTTTGTTTTGTTCGTTCGGGGGCCACAGCCGGCAGTGCTCGGGGTTTGCTCCTGGCGGTGCTCAGGGGACCCTGTGGGGTGCGGGGGATTGAACCCAGGTCAGTTGCGTCGTGGCCAATTCCCTACACACTGGACTGCACTGCTCCAGCTCCGGATGCACTCACTTCTTCCCCGAGGCGGACCTGCTGTGCTGAGGGTGCTGAGGCTGGTCTTCGGAGGAGCTTATCGAAGGGTGTTTTTCCTCATCTGTTCGGTCTGGAGGCTCATTTGGCGGTGGTTGTTTTTTTTTGTACTCACACTCACTTTTTGGGGGTGGGGGGAGGTGGGGTTTGGGCCACACCCAGCAATGTTCAAGGGTGGCTTCTGACTCGGGAATCACTCCTGGTGGTGCTTGGCAGTCTCGGGGATTCCCATGGGATGCAGGATCGACCCTGGACCGACCACGTGCAAGGGGAGCGCCCTGCCCTGCCCTCTGTATTCTAGCTCCAGCCCCTCCCTTTTTAAGATTTTTGTCGATGTTTTGATGACTTGGGATGGACACACAGGCCCAGCTGTGGGACTCCTGCACCAGCCTATATGGTGCTGACACACTTAGCTCACAGAGGTCACAGCCCGGCCCTGTGCTGGCGAATCCCGTTAGATGCGGTGCTTGCCGGAGCCACAGCTCTCTTTCGTATTCCTCACTCCCTCCTGGTGCTGGCAAAGTTGGAAACCACTTGCACCGGTAAGGAGTGCAGACAGCTGAGGCGTGGGGACTGTGCTCAGCATACGTGGTGGCTCTGGGGTTTGAACTCTCAACACGAGGCCACTGAGCTTGTCTGGCAGGCTTGGAAGATCAAGTGGGGTCAAGGATCAGCTGGGGACTGAACTCTGGGTCAGCCACGTGCAAGGCCAGTGCCCTACCTGCTGTCCTAACCCTCCGACCCTGCTGTGTGTTGCTGTGAATCTCCCCTGTTGGTCCTGGAGTTGGGAATGCCGGAGGGCGCAGGGAATCTCCTTCACACGGGGTTTCAGTTCATATATTCGCACTTGTGGGTTTTGTTCATAAAACTGTGATTTTTCAGTTCGTAGGAGGAAGTATTGATGTGTAGAATTTTCTCTGAGTTTTATAGTATAAAGTTTCCCGGACTCTGTGGTATTTCCACCTGCCCGTTCTTATCAGAGTCCAGTGAAAGATAGTATCAGATTCAGCGGAAAGCAGCTCAGTAAATCAGCTTTTTACGGTGACTTCCAAGCATTTCTCTCCTGTGATCAGATTCAGGAACTACCAGAACCTTCCCTCGCTCTGTCATTGATGCCAGGCCAGTGGGTGTGGTGGGTGTTTGTTTTCTGGGGGGCAGAGGGGAGGCCGACCCAGCAGTGCTCAGGGGCTCACTCCTGCCTCAGTTGCTCAGGTGTGGTGCCAGGGATCAAGCCACCACTCATAGGTGGTGCCAAGGGTCAGACCAGTTCCTTAGCCCCTGCACTGTACTGTCTCTCCGGCATCCAAGCCGCTGATCACACGGCAGTCTTTTGTATGTCACCTCCTCTTTTCCGCTCAGATACGTTTGGTGAACGCCAAATTACGGAGGTGGCCTGCTCGGTGCATTACGCATGGAATTGTACGTCTTAAGGATTGGTCATTGTATACATACATAGAAAAAAGCTGCTTCAGAAAATCTGGTCATACGGGTCTTAGACTGTGAGAAGCTATTTTTTTCTTAGAATGTAGGAATTGGGGCTCAGTTTATGTGGTACCACTCACGTTTGCTCCCACTGCCGTGTGTCAAGTGCTCTTTCATACAAGCCGATGAGGTGGTGGTCGTCCGGCAGATGAAGATGAAGATGTCCACGGTCACACGGCTAATGAACGAGGATTCAGACTGGTGGACCGAGGCCAGATCAGATAACAATATCGATCTTAAAAATCTGTACAGGGCGGAACTGGAGTGATAGCACGGTGGTAGGGCGTTTGCCTTGCACGCGGCCGACCCGGGTTGGATTCCCAGCGTCCCTTACGGTCCCCCAGCACGGCCAGGAGCAATTCCTGAGTGCATGAGCCAGGAGTAACCCCTGAGCGTCGCCGGGTGTGACCCAAAAAGCAAAAAACAAAAAAAAACAAACCGTATGGAGTGGGGGTGGCTGGTGCGATAGTCACAGGAGGTGGGGCATTTGCCTTGCCCACAGCATCCCACACGACGCTCAGAGCCCCAGCAGGAGTGACCCCTGATTCAGGGGTAGGCGCTGTGCACTGCTGGGTATGACTGCCCCCCCCCCACACACACACACAAATCTATACAAGGGACAGTTCAGATGGTAGAGCTAGGCTGTGTGCCCATTCCTCACCATTTTATAGGGTGTGGCCCCTACGCAGGTAAAATCTGTGTGGAACCAGGTCAATTATTCGGTGGGTAAAGTGCTTGCCTGGCGCATGTCCAGCCTGGGTTTGATCCCCAGCGCCCTGCATGGTCCCCCAAGCCCATCGGGAGCGATTCCTGAACAGGGCCAAGAGTAAGCTCTGAGCTCAGCTGAGTGTGGTCCAAAACCAAAAATTTTGTGCTGTTAGCTCGGCATAATAGGGATTTTCCTGGACAAATGGCAGAAGTCAGAGTCGGAGAGAGATTCTGGGGGTTAAAGCACTTGCCTTGCACGTTGTCTCATTTTAATCTCTGGCACTGTGCCGAGCCAGGAAGCCCTGAGCAGAGCTAGGTGCAAACAAACAAAAAACGAGAAAGCAGAAGGAGCCGGGCTCACGTCTAAAAGCTTAAGCACTTGCTCCGCATGCAGGAGCCTCGGGTCCAGCCCCCAGCACCACACGGTTTCCCAGACTCTGCCAGGAGCAGACACTGAGCCCACCAGTTGTGACCAAAAGGCAGGGAACTGTTTGGAGCTCTGACAGATCAGAGCTTCAGAAGTGACTTCACGTGGGGGAGGAATTGTACAGTGGTCAGACGTGCTTGCAGCAGACCCAGGTTTGATCCCTGATACTCTGGGGCTGGAGCGATAGCACAGCGGTAGGGCGTTTGCTTTGCACGCGGCCGGCCCAGCCAAGCCGCGTTCGATTCTTCCACCCCTCTCGGAGAGCCCGGCAAGCTACCAAGAGTATCGCGCCCGCATGGCAAAGCCTGGCAAGCTCCCCGTGACGTACTCGATATGCCAAACACAGTAACAACAAGTCTCACGATGGAGACGTTACTGGGCCCGCTCGAGCAGATCGATGAACAACGGGAGGACAGTGACAGTGACTTTGGTCCCTGGAGCCCACCAGGGTATAGCCCAAAACGGAAAAATAAAAATAAAACTTTGGGGCCAGAGAGACAGCTCAGTGGTCTAGAGCACATGCTTTGTGTGCCGGAGATCCAGGATCCATCCCGGTGTGGAATGTGACTCTCTGGAGCACCCCCAGCGGTGCCTCCCTCCCCCCCAAACAGCAACAAGGAGAGGAAATAAACCTTCATATTTTTCTTTTGTACTGGGAGGGCTTTCGGCCATTCCTACCTGGTGCTCAGTACCTGTTGTCAGCTCAGTGCTCGTTCTCGTCCCCTCGCGGTAATGAAGACCATGCAGTGTTGGGAACTGACCCCGTGGGCCTCATACAAAGCTAGGGCTTGATGTCCGAGCCATGTCGCTGGCCCAGTTCTTACTACCCGCTTCTTGCCAGTCATTGGTGAAAGTCTGGTTCTCCTCGTTTTTTCCAGGTTTTTAAAATTAGCGTTTTAAAATTAAAATTTCAGGCAGCGTCCATCACCGCAGTCGACGACCTGCCTCTCAGTACTCGCATGCTGTTTCACGGCTACTATGGTTTTTGTTTGTTTGTTTTTTTAATTGACAGTTCCAGGTTGTTTGTCCTGTGAAGCAGCCCTCACTAGACTTTTCAGGTTGCTCCTTTGTGGAGTTTATATGTTCTGCTGTTCTGGGAATTTCCCATGATCCTTACAGATCTTAACAGCGATAGATAGGAGAGAGATACCTACTACAGTGGGTAGGGCACTAGCCTTGCACGCGGCCGACCTGGGGGTTCTATCCCAGCACCCTGTCTGGTTCTCTGAGCACTCGGCCAGGGGTGATGCCTCAGTGCAGAGCCAGGAGTAACATCTCAGCATCACCGGGTGTGGCCCCCAAACATCAGTTGATTAAAAATATCTTGGGACTGCACCGGGACCAGGAATGTGTGGGTGTCTGCCAGTGCCACACCCCGAGATGGACCGGGCACCGTAAGCACCGGCCCCCCACAACCACAGGCTGTGGCCCTTGGGGTCCTTGGCCTTGAGCCCTAGCAATGAGGTGTCCAACAGCAATGAGATATCACTGTCACACATCAAAAAAAAAACATGAACCACCACTGCTGGCACTGATGTAGGGAGAAAGGGACTCTCCTTCACTGTTGGTGGGAATGCCAACTGGTCCAGCCTTTCTTGGAAAACAGTATGGGCATTCCTCAAAAACGAGAGTGAGCTTCCATACGACCCAGCAATACCACTTCTGGGAATATCTCCTGGGGGTGCAAAAAAGCACAGTAGAAAGGACATCTGTACCTGAATGTTCATTGCAGCACTGTTCACAGTAGCCAGAATCTGGAAAACAACCCAAGTACCCTAGAACAGACTGCTGGTCAAAGAAACGTTGGTACATCTACTCAATGGAATACTATGCAGCTGCTAGGGAAGATGAAGTCATGAAATCTGCTTCTAGGTGGATGGACATGGAGAGTATCATGCTAAGTGAGATGAGTCAGAAAGAGAGACAGACACAGAAAGTCCTTCACTCATTTGTGGAATATAAAACAACGTAACATGAGGCTGACACCCAAGGACAGTAGAGATAAGTGCCAGGAAGATTGCTCCATGGTTGGAAGCCTGTCTCACGGGCAGGGGGAGAAGGCATCTGGGACAGAGAAGGGACCACTAAGTCAATGATGGTTGGAGGGATCGCTCGGGATGGGAGTTGTGTGCTGAAAGTAGATAAAGGACCAAACATGATAACCCCTCAGTATCTGTATTACAGACCATAATGCCCAGGAGTAGAGAGAAAGAAGGAAATTGTCTGCCATAAAGGCGGGGGTGGGAGACCGGGGTCTGGGCAGGAGGGATACTAGGGACATTGGTGGTAGAGAATGTTCACTGGTGGAGGGATGGATGTTTGATCATTGTCTGACTGAAACTCAACCATGAAAGCTTTGTAACCGTAGCTTACAACGATTCAATTAAAAAAAAAAAGCCTAGGTTAACAACAACAAAAAAAAAAGTTCAACACTATTGAGCAAGTATTGTAGGGAGGCATTTACACACACTTCTGTAACGCTCTGTGTTCTGTACTGATGACAACAGTGATGATGATCACTGTCTAAGTTCAGATTCATTCCAAAAATGCCAGTATTCTGTATTAGGGTTTAGATGCTTGTCTGGTGCACGGCCGTCCTCAGTTTGATCCCTGGCACTGTATACAGTCCCCCAGGCACAGGCAGGAGTGCTCCTTCAGTAGAGTCTGGAGGAAGCCCTGAGCACCACCAGGTACGATCCCACAAAAGCAAGCGTAAAATAAGCTTTATGTTTTAGCTGTTTGTCTTCTCCAAAGAGTACCTTCCTGAGCCGGAGACATGTGGGGGTTACGGCACTTGGCCTTGCATGCAGCCGGGTGCGGTTCAGTCCCTAACACCATATCGTTCCCTGAATACAGTGACCCCTGACCACCGCCTGCCTGTTGTGGCACCCAGTAATTTTTTTCATTTTTTTCTTCAGAATTTCATTAAAGAGCCCGGCAAGCTACCGAGAGTATTCGATATGCCAGACACAGTAACAACAAAGTCTCCAATGGAGACGTTACTGGGCCCGCTCGAGCAAATTGACGATCAACGGGAGGGCCTTTACCTTTACCTTTACCTTCATTAAAGCACCATGAATTACAAAGTCATTCATAGTTGCGCTTTTGACGTCCAAAATTCCTTTTAAAGTCTAAAATACTTGTTTCTATTGAAGTTATCTGTTGTTGCTTAAGTGTCCTCTGCCTTTTTGGGATTTTTTTTCTTTTAATTTTTATTAGTGAAACACCATGAGGTACAGTTGTAGACTTATAAATTTTTGTGCTTGGGTTTCCGTTATACAATGATCGAGTACCCATCCCTCCACCAGTGCCCATTTCCCACCACCATGGATCCCAGTATCCCTCCCACCCCCCATCCCCCATCCCACCCTGCCTCTGTGGCAGGGCATTCCCTTTTGTTCTCTCTCTCCTTTTGGGTCCTGTGGTTTGCAAGAGAGGCATTGAGTGGCAATCATGTTTGGTCTAGAGTCTACTCTCAGCATGCATCTCCCATCCTGGGGGAATTTTTTGTTTTGGGGCCACACCCCATGGCGCTCAGGGCTTACTCCTGGCTTGGAGCTCAGGGGTTACACCTGGCAGGCTCTGGGGACCACATGGTGTGCCGGGGATCGAACCCGGGCTGGCTGCGTGCCTGGCGAGCACCCTGTCACTGTCCTCCCTTTCCGGCCAGTGTCCTCTCCTCTCTGTCTGGTCGGAGGCTTTCCAAGTTGGTGCCTTTTACCTGGCCCCAGTCTTTGATAGTTATCTTGCTGTGTGGTATGAGAAAGATGTGTCCAGCTAATCTTGCGTATCTCTTATCCCAGATCTAGAGTTGACGGCCCCTCCCCAGGGGCTGGGAAGTGGCCTGACAGCTCGTGTGCTTTGAGTGATGCCTTTCTCCTTTCCAGGCGTCCACGAAGAGTATCAGCTGCCGTATTACGACTTGGTGCCCTCGGACCCTTCCATTGAAGAAATGCGAAAGGTCGTGTGTGACCAGAAGCTTCGTCCCAACATCCCCAACTGGTGGCAGAGTTACGAGGTAGGATCCCCGCCCGCCAGCGGCCTTGCTGTTTTGTTTTCTGTTTGTTTGGGTCGGGGAGGGCGATTTGGGCCACAGCCCAGCCCATGGTGCTCAAGGCTGCCCCTGGCTGTGCGCAGGGATGTTACTGGTGGTGCGGAGAGGCGGGGGCACCGTTTGCAGCGTCTGGGGTCAGAGCTGCGTCAGCTTCATGGGAGGCAAGCGTCTTATCCTTACACCATCTCTTCACGCCGTTTGCCTTATTTCCAGACTTGACAGTGGTAACAGCAGAGCCAGCCTCCAAGGGTTAGTCTTCGGTAGTACGAAGAGGTGTTCTCTCTGTGTGTTTGTATCTGTGTATGCGTTCATTAGGGGCGACACCCCGTGGAGCTCAGGGCACTGTGGTGCCAGGAATTGAACCCAGGGTTCCCCCACGCAGAGCCCTTTGGGCCGTCGTCCCAGCCCCAGAGCTAGTTACCTGCTGAATCCCAGTAGACCACAGCCCCCCGCTCCTGGGTACCGCGTTGTTCTCTTTGGAGTGGATGACCTGACCGAAGTAAACGGCTGCGCTGCCGGGCACAGCTAAGAGAGACGGTTCACGCGAGGCGGAGGCAAGCCTGAGCAAGTGCTCTGAGCCCTCTCCTTCCCCCAGACTGACCAGCGAGGACCCGGCAGGGCTACTCGCAGATGTAGCGGAGCCGCACTGGCTGGAGAGGAATCGCGGCCTGTGTAAAACCCCACGAGGAGGAGGCGGGTGCGGTGAGGGTTGGACGGTGAATGCGAACGGGCAAGATGGCAGGGCATGGGGTGGACAGTGGAGCGGGTAAGGTTTGTACGCGGCTGACCCGGGTTTGACCCCCGCACCCCGTAGAGTCCCCCAAGCCCGGCCAGGAGTAAGCCCTGGGCATCCAAATTTTTAAAAAGTAGAAGGGTGGTAGCATTTGCTGGAAATCGTAAGCATGCAGGCAGATTGATGACCTACGTTCCCAGGACGCCTGACGTTCCGGGCGGGCTCTTGGGGTCTCGCCTGGTGCCAGCCCGCTCGTGTCTCTGCTCTGAGCGAGTCCAGCCACTAGAGGGCGCCCCGCAGTGGAGCACCGAATCCCGCGCTCCCAGCAGTGGGATGCTTTCTTCTCTCTGCCTCTGAGCTTTTCCTCCCCTGGGCCCTGGGGACCCCTCCCCCTTGACAGTTCGGAAGCGCTGCTCCGATCTGAGCTGCGGCTCTGCTTGGGAGAACGGGCTCCTCCACTCCGGCTGGCCAAGGCCTCCATGCCTGGTGGCCGTCCCCAGGAAACGCCCACGTCCTCCTCCCGGCCTGACAGTAGAGGCCTGTGTCGTCCGGGAAACGGCAGTGAGTCCCTCCGCCCGATGCGGCTTCCCACCCCACCTGCGTTGGAAACCGCAATGGGCTGGAGAGGTGTGGGCGGGGCGCTTGCCTTGTACACAGCCGACCCAAGTTTGGTCCCCGGCACCTGACATGGTTCCCCCGACCCCCGCCGGGGGTGATCTCTGAGCGCAAAATCAGGGCTAAGTGTTGCCCAGACTCAAAACAAGGAAAATGTGACGTCCTGCCGTGTGTGTGTGTGTGCCGTGCCCCGGCGTGCCTGCACTGGCTTCCATGCTTGTGGAAACGGTGCTGGCAGGGCTCCAGGGCCGGGGTGCATGCTCTGTGGCTGCTCTGTCTCCTCAGGCCTCAGGACGTCCTGGTTGGCCATAGACTGCCGTGAAGCTGCCCCAGGACCTCTGAGCACAGGCCTCCACCCCCAAAAAAAAACTGGGTTTCTGAACCCAGCAGCAATGACTCCAGAACACAGGCTGTTTGGGGGCCCTTTCCTGATTGCCCTGCAGCTGTGGGATGGGGTGGGGGCGTACCAGGAGATGCCTCCCCTCTCCGGCCGGCATGAGCACCGGCCTGGCGCCGAGCCCCCCTCGGCCCCCAGAGGCAGGGCAGGGGCCGCTCACGCTCCGCTCTCTCCCGCAGGCGCTGCGGGTCATGGGGAAGATGATGCGTGAGTGCTGGTACGCCAACGGCGCGGCCCGCCTCACCGCCCTGCGCATCAAGAAGACCCTCTCCCAGCTCAGCGTGCAGGAGGACGTGAAGATCTAGCCTGCTGCCTCCCTCCGAGCCGCCCTGGGCGGCGAGAACTACAGAGCTGCCGCGGGGAGCGTGCCTGGAGGCTACCTCTCGTTTCGGCCCGGCCCGCAGGAGGGACGAGCCCGGGAGACTCGCTCACTCCCACGCCGGGTTGAGACACGGACCCCTTTTCTGTTTACCTCCTGACGGCATGGAGCCCCCAAGGGCCGCGGTGTAGAGGACTCAGTGCCACGACTTGAACTGGTGGGAGTGGAGGGTCCCGCAGAGCCCGGCGCACCTGACACCGGTCCGGGCGCGCGGCGGTGGCGTACCGGAGGCCCAGAGAAGCAGGCGTCGCCAGTGCTGAGCGGCGCCGAGGGCTTTCCTCCAGGGACCCCCCAGCGCACCGAGGGGCGGCTCGAGGCGGCCGTGCCCCCCTCCCACCTCACACGGACATCTGGAGGGGACTGCCCAGGGGTCCGTCCGCGCCGGTGCCCGGCCACGTGTGCGTGCATGGGCCGAGGCGCGTCCCTGCGTGCCTGCTCCGTGCCCCACCCTTCACGTGTGTGCGTGCGTGTGCGTGCGCGTGTGTGTGTGTGTGTCTGTCCGTGCACACTTACCTGCTTGAGCTTCCTGTGCATGTACAGGGTGGGGTGGTCCTCGTGCGTCTGTGCGTGCCGGTCCTCGGGTCAGTAGCGGTAGCATCTGTGTGCCCCACGCCACGGCCCTTCCCAGCAGGCTGCCCCGCCCCGAGTCCCTGCAGTCCTCCGTCCCGGACTGGCACCGAAGCTGGCCCCGTTGGCTGCTGCGAGCCCAGGGTCCCCGTGGAGGAGGAGAGGTGGGACGGGCAGGCAGGCGAGGAATCTTGGCAGCGGCGCGGAGCGTCGTGGCCAGCAGAGAAGGCCCGAGGCATTTGGAGCCCAGAGCTCGGGACTCCGGTCGGAATGTCACATCTGTCTGTCCTAGCCCACATTCTGGAAACAGCAGTGTATATTTTTGGTGGTGGTGGGTCCAGGGTGGGGGAGGCGGGGGCGGGGGCGGGGGGTGGGGTGGCGTCCGCATGGGTCTGTTACTGGATTAGCTGACCGCGGTGGAGGGAGGCGAGGCTGGTGTCCACTCCAGGGCCCTTCCGGGGGCCAGGCCGAGCCGCACGCAGCTCCCCGGGGGACGGTTTTCCACCATGGCTGGCAGCACGGTGCGGGGTTGGTCAGCATATCTTAGCTAGATAACTTTGAAGCCATAACTTTGAACTGGAGTGGTTTGATTTTTTTTTTTTCTTTTTAATTTTCTTCAAAGGGTCTGGATTTTAACTTTTCTTAATATTGTTTTTGTAAAAGGAAAACCATCTCTGTCTGACGATTACCTCTCAATCTCTTTGTTTTTGAAGAAAATCACTACGAAAACAACCACAAGAATCTTGTTGGAACGCACATAGCTCGATCACACTGGAAATACTCTTGTCCTGAGCCTGCCCCCCGAGAGCTGCTCCCGGTCCGGGGTCTCCTGCGCCCCGCCCCCGCCCCCAGGGCTGAGAGGACTGGGCTCGGGGCTCTGAGGAGGCCTCTGTGCACTGTCCAGCCGTGGCCACCCCGCAGGTGCCAGGCGCTGCGTCCCACCTACGGGGGTCCCAACTTCTGTGACCGTGGGAGGCTCGCGGACGGAGCGGCACAGAGAACACGGACGTCTGTTCTCAGACTCGTGTTCCTGAGAGCCTCTGGAGCTCTGACCTAGGACCACTGAGAACTACGGATGCCCACCCCAGCACGGGGGACCGGGGTGGGTAGCGAGACCCCCGACCCCCAGTCACTGCATTCGTTCTGAGCCCCCTTCCTGCCCTCACGCGCCTGCTCCAGCCCAGAGCCTGCCAAAGCCTGGGGGCGGGGGGCTCCTGTCCCCGTCCCCCCCTTCCCTATTCACTTCCTGACGTCTCGCTTCCTTGCATCGAAGGAGACCTTCCCCTCGCACTCGGGCCGATTTACCGGCCACTGATTTCCCACGGAAACCAATTGTGTCATGAGCGGGGACCTTCCTGCCCCCCTCCCCCGCCCTGCTGCAGAATCTGGCAGGTGATGGGTGATGATGAACTTCGATGCCTGCCGTGGTCACAACCAGCCTCTGGGAGCTGCCAACACTCCTCCAGCCAGGGACCCCTTCCCACCGCCGGCTCCCCGCCTCCGGGAAGGCCGGGCAGTTCCTCGGGAAGCGCCCCGCGCCCTCTCACCTCTACCGCCACCCAGAGTTAGGAGTCAAGAGCGGGGAGACGACAGGCTGGGTCCTGGGCCCCGAGGCCACCCCGGTCCGTAGGGCTGCCTGCACTGTGGATCCGGGTTCACAGACCAAGGCCAAGCCCGTTCTGCCGCCAGCGAGGCCCCCGAACGGCATTCTCGGTACTTTCGTTTGTTTTTGTACATTTTATTAGAAAGGACTGTAAAATAGCCACTTAGACACTTTACCTCTTCAGTATGCAAATGTAAATATGTGTAATATAGAAAATCTTTTGTTTTAATATAAGAATGAGCCTGTCCGATTTCTGCTGTACATTATTAAAGTTTTATTCACAGAGCTCTCGTGGTGCATCTGTCACACCTGCCGGCTGTCGTGGGGATGGGGCTGACAGCAGAGAAGTAACCGTGTCTCTTCGGTGTCGGGGGCCACACCTGACTGTTCTGGGATCACTCCCGGAGCTCCTCGGGGGCTGGTCCGTGATGCCGCGCGCTGAGTGCAGGTTGGACCCCTGAGCACGGCAGACACTGGGCCGCCTCTTGGGGGTGGGGGGTTCGAGGGGCAGGACAGGACGTGCTCCGGTTCCTCGGGGGGTCACTTATGCGTTTTCAGTGTGGGGATGAGGATGTCTGTCATCTGCAGCTGAGGACTGAGGGAGTCCGCAGTCCTGGAGTTGTTGGGTTATTTACTTATTTAGTTAGTTTGTTTTTTGGGTCTCAACTGGAGATCACAGGGGTTACTCCTGGTTCTGCACTCAGGAATCACCCCTGGCGGTGCTCGGGGGACCATATGGGATGCTGGGAGTCGAACCCAGGTCGGCTGTAAGGTAAAGGTAAAGGCCCTCCCGTTGATCGTCGATTTGCTCGAGCGGGCCCAGTAACGTCTCCATTGGAGACTTTGTTGTTACTGTGTCTGGCATATCGAATACTCTCGGTAGCTTGCCGGGCTCTCCAAGAGGGGCGGAGGAATCGAACTCGGGTCGGCCATGTTGGCCGCGTGTAAGGCGAACGCCCTACCCGCTGTGCTATCACTCCAGCCCCCTGGAGTTGTTGGTTTTAAACTGAGGCGAGATCATCAGGGTTGCCTCACGTAGAACACTCTCGGCTGTTCCTCAGCTTCCCTGCAAGAGACCGTGGGTCTTGTGCTCTAAAAGGCACGCCACATGTCCAGGGCCGGCTGTCCTCATGGGGAAAAGCGGTGGTAGGACTGGACGGCCTCCGCACGACCCCTCCCCTGGTCAGAGCAGTTGGTCTCTTCCAGGGGGAGAATATTTGAAGTATTCGAAAGCAGCTGCCCTGTGCCAAGTCCGACAAAGCTTAAGGAGTTTCTTCAGCTGATGGTAGCAGGTCCTTTTTGAACATGGACTGCACGCTCAGCGGTGCACCAAGACTTGCTGTGCGTCCATTCACTGCTTTGATCCTCAAAACAAGATGTGAGGGGCCCCAGGAAGTGGCTTGGAAGGAGAAGGCCACTTTGTGGCTGCAACGTGTCACCACCCTGTCTGCACACGCTGTGCAGGAGGATCAGCCCTCCACAGCCACCAGGGAAGGACAAACTGAAGATTATTAGCCTTTCTGGGTTAAGAAACTGAAGGTTAGAGAAGTCAGACTGCCCATGTAGCCAGGCCTGGAAAGACCTTGCTACAAATACCAACCCTAGTTCACAGTAAACGTGTGAGTGCTCAAGGCGTCGGTAGCTTCAAGTGTTTAAAGGATGGTGGCAGCCGTTAGCACTGGCTCTCAGTACATCACCTTTGCCTGTAACAGGCACTGGGTCTGCTCATCAGCACCACCAAAAACATTTCAGTTCATGATAAGATGCAGTTCATTCTATTCCCTCTGTGTTCCCTTGGCAGTGCCTGCCACCTTACTAGAAAGGTTTCTGATACAAGAGATCACAATCCATTCAAACAATGACAAATTTTGGTTTTGGCAGGAGGCAGAGTACTCAGGACCGTATGTGGTGCCCGGGTTGAAACAGGGCTAGCCACACGCAGGGAGAATTCCTTATCTTTGGCCCCTGAACTTGGTTTGTGTTTCACATCTTAAATTTCCCTCTCCACTGGTCTTCACGGGGCTGGAGCGATAGCACAGCGGTAGGGCATTTGCCTTGCACGCAGCCAACCCAAGTTCAATTCCTCCGCCCCTCTCGGAGAGCCCAGCAAGCTACCGAGAGTATCTCATCCACGCAGCAAAGCCTGGCAAGCACCCCATGATGTATTCGATATGCCAAACACAGTAACCCAAGTTCGACTCCTCCATCCCCTCTCAGAGAGCCCGGCAAGCTACCGAGAGTATCTTGCCCACACAGCAAAGCCTGGCAAGCTCCCCGTGACGTATTTGATGCCAAACACAGAAACAAGTCTCAAAATGGAGATGTTACTGGGCCCGCTCGAGCAAATGGATGAACAACGGGAGGAGAGTGGCAGTGTGACTGGTCTTCACAATCAAGTGTATGTGCTTGCTAAGCCCAACCCAGCCAAAATTGTCGGTGTAGCAGGGTTCAAGAGAGAAGTTTTGGATCCAGTGGGCAATGGTGTGTTTGAATTCTCCAGAGAAACGGGAGAGGGTGAAGGAAAACGAGGGAGATGAGAAAAGGGAAAAGGAGGAAGAGGAAGAAACCGAAACCAACATTTAATTGAACTCAACAGTTTGAGCACATGCCTGAGGCCCAGGTTGCATCCCTGACAGAGAATGAGTCCCCGAACAAGAGGCTTAAGCGGTCGTGTGCAGGTGGGGTCCTTGCCTTGAGTACAGTTGACCCGGGTCTGAGTCTAGGGGAGTGAACCCTGAGCACCACTGGGTGTGACTGAAAAAAAAAAAAAAGGAAAAGTCACAGCATAGGGCCGGAGAAATAATACAGCGGGTAGGCCGTTTGCCTTG